TTAATTCTTTTAAAAAAAATTCATGCCAGTTGTTTTACTCATGGCCAACAGATCCCCTGATTCACTTGTTATGAGCAATTTTGTATGGTACATCTCAACCCACATTTTAGGTGGTTTGCAGCAGAATGCATAAGTACACCTTCTGTTCATGGGAAGAAAAAAAAAGAGTAATACAGCCTTTTGCCAGGACCCAAGACCAGCCTTGGGCAAAGAAAGATAAAATGAACAGGGCAATAATGCACACAAGAAGAAGAAGAGATTGGATTTATACCCCGTCCTTCACTACCCAAAGGTGTCTCAGAGTGGCTTACAAACTCCTTTCCCTTCCCCTCTCCACAACAGGCACCCTGTGGGGTAGGTGGGGCTGAGAGAGCTCTTGACAGAAACTGCTCTTTTTCAAGAACAGCTGTGCCAGATTTATGGCTTGCCCAAGGTCATCCAGCCAGGTGCAAGTGGAGGAGTGGGGAATCAAACCTGGTTCTCCCAGATTAGAGTCCGTGCACTTAACCACTACACCAAACTGACACCAAACAAGTCTTCAGAAACTCCCATTCAAAATATTTGCTTTCCTTGAAGTGCCAGCTGGCATCCTAGTTATTTTGGTCATTTGTATATTTACGTTTTTCATCTAAAACCAAGATAAATGGCTAAGATGAAGGATGTTATCTCTTCTAGGGCTGTCAACATTCTCTTCTCATCATTAAAGGAATTTCAGCACACGTCTAGGTTTCAGTTATTCACTACTGTTTGATAGCCTGCTTTCAGTTACATTTCAACAACAGTCAAGGCTACACTTATGATATCCTGACTTTTCTTAGAACATTAAAAACTAACTCCAGTCCAGCCACAGGCTTAGTATCCGCATACAGTAGGCATGTGCATTCTGGTCTACCCAAACCAAAAATATACCCAGAAAACACCTTATTGGTATTTTTAGGTTAAATTTCAGCATCCCAAATGTATCTGGGATTTTTTGCGAGAACCAAAAAAAAAAAAAATCCTCCCCAAATCCTGGATATATTTGGGAATTACCAGCAAACCTGAACAATGGCTGAGGGGCTGGAGCAGACTGCTCACACAGCTCAGCTGTTTTTGGGTGTTTTTCTGAAGTCCCTTTTAAAAGGGGGAGTTTAAAGGTATTGCAGAAGAAAACCCACAAAATGGCCAGGGGCACTCTCCCAGCCGCCTCAGCTGGGGCTCTTTTGGGCTGTTCAAACAAACTGCCAAAGAGAGCCCTAGTGGACCCTGCGAGGAGAGTTCTCCCCACAGGATCCGTTGCTTGATGGGCTCTGTTGGGTGTAGGGACAGTGTTCTCTGTGTGGCAAGCCTGAAGTTCACTACTCCTGCAGGGAAATTGGGAACCAGAGTACAGAATGCACAAGATTGCTGAGCTCATCGTGAGAAGTAACTTGGCAGAGAGTTGGGAGGAGATAAGACAGTGAGGCTGTTTTCACAACACATTCCTGAATATAATAGCTCATAGTGGGGTGACTGGTAACTTTCGATGTATAGGGGAGGGGGAAGGAGTGAAGGGAATCTAATAAAGCCTGCTTCTCCAGGAAACAGATTTCTGCAGAGCTGTTTGTGTGTGTCGTTCTTTGCACAGTCAACCTTCAGTTGGGAACTAGGCTGCCCAGCAGAGCCCCAGTGGAGCCTGTGGGGAGAGTTCTCCCTGCAGGAACAGCCGCTTGGTAGGCCTCTGTTGGGCAGTCTGGTTTAAACCGAGCTGCCCAGCAGAGCCCCAGTGGAGCCTGTGGGGAGAATTCTCCCTGCAGGATCAGCTGCTTGGCAGGCTCTGTTAGGCAGCCTGGTTTAAACCTGGCGCCCGGCAGAGCCCCAGCAGAGTCTCTGGGGAGAATTCTCCCTGCAGGATCAGCTGCTTTCCAATCTTTTTTGGGCAGTCTGGTTTAAAGGCAGTCCGCCTCTCAGCTGTTTTTTGCGGCTTTGCTGCTGTTATTTTCCCCTCTGTATTTTTCAGTTTGGGTCTATTGGAGTTGGGGGGAAATGGGATTTCCAAAAAATTCTGGATCCGAATACTTTACCAGTACTGAAATCCGGGTTTTTCGGGGAATTCCAATTTTTTTCTGAATACAATAGACTTGCACTGAAAATAGTGTGGGAAAAAAATTGCACACCCCTACCCCATTGTGATCCTGATGAATTAAGACCTCATCACACAGGTACTTTGTGTAAAATTAACAACTGTGGAGGAAAGAAATTTAAATTGCATTCTGCTGCTGCTCAGAAGTTAGACTAAAACGGTCTCAGCTGGTAGGATAATGTTTGTAAAACGAGTGGTTGTAAAAACCAGATTGTAGCATTTACAACTTCATATGGAAAACCAGCTTCAGATAGATTCCCTTGAAATGTAAATGGATAATTGGTCTAAACATTACGAACCCTATCCTTGAAGTATAGGGCAATATCACTTAAAGGAATACTATGTACAGTCATGGTCACCATATCTTTAAAAAGTAGGTGACCACGATGATTAAAGGTTGGAGCACCCTTCCTATGAGAAAAGGCTAAAGAGACTGGGACTTTTCAGTTTAGAAAAAAAGAGGACTGAGGGGAGACATGATCGAGGTTTAGCAAATTATGCCTGGGGCAGAGAGTGGATAAAGTGAACTTTTTCTCTCTGTCCCAAAATAGTGGAATCTGGGGTTTACAGGCAATAGATTCAGAATGGACAAAAGGCAGAACTTCTTTACTCAATTAACAATTAAATTGTGGGATTTGCTGCCAGTTATGGTAGTGATAACAACAAGCATAGATTACTTTAGAAGGGAGTAAGAGAGATTCATGGAGGATTGGCCCATCAATGGCTACTAGCCATGATGTCTAAAGGAAACCTCCACATTCTGAAGTAGTAAACCTCTGAATATAATTGCTAGGAATAACATTTCAACTACAGCCTGGGAAATTCCTAGAAATTTTGGGGCAGAGCTTGGGGAGGGTGGAATTCAGGGAACTCAGCAAGGATGTGATGCCACAGAGTCCACCTTCTTGAAGTTGCCATTTCCTCCAGGTGAACCGTTCTCTGTAGTCTGATTAGCCATAATTCTGAAAGAACTCCAGGCCCCACCTGGAGGTTGACAACCCTAGATAGGAGGCACCATCAAGAGAAGACTCTGCCCTGTATGTCCTGTTTATTGGCCCTCCAACACTACTGGTCAGCCACTGTGTGAAACAGGATACTGGACTAGGTGGCCTGATCAAGCAGGGCTCTTTATGTCCCGGTTGTAATTAGAAACAGCAGGTTAAAAGGGTATGAATGAAAGGAAAGGGAATCCCTTGGTTTGGGTACACAGCTGGTTCTTCCTTCTCCACCAACAGCTGTCCTAGAGTTACACCTTTTAAAAACCTATTGACGTCAAGGGACTAAGAAGGCCACTTAAGGTAGTACTGCATGTGGCCTGGTGGATAAACAATGGAGGAATGAGACACCTCAGCTTTTGCATCATGGCTAAAAGGGTGGCTTGGGAGGGGGGTTGCCTCTCTTATTTTCCAGCATTTTTCTATTCATATTTATTTTTCCTTTGCTCCGTTGTTATTCATAGAAACTCATAATGTAGAATTGCTGTCAAGTTGCAGCTGATTTATGGCAACCCTATCATAGGCGTAAACTATGGGCGGCTTGGGGGCACGGGCCTTTCCCAAATTTTTCCAGGGAAGACTGAGCCCCCCCCCCAGCAATCAGTGCCAGGCAGTGAAGGAGGAGGAGGAAATACATGAGTGTGCAAGCTTGCCTATTGGCAAGTTGGAGTAAAAGCTCCTCCCCTCCACCACAGAGGTGGCTGGGAGAAAAGAGAGTGCGAGCACCGGAAAAGAGACAGTGGGACAGCATGCAGCCACCTAGCTCGTGACCTAGGTTCCCTTTAAGCTGCGCCAGGCTGTGCTGGCAATCCAATTCCCCCCACCCAGTGCACCAATTTTTACCTCAGCACAGGGGCGTGAGGTTCCTCTCCCAATAGTCATGCAGCACAGATCCGTTGGTCAGGCAGCACTGAAGCCCAGTTTGTTTTTTGTTTCCTAATCTGGGCTGGCCCTGCCTTCCCTCAGATGGAGTTTGCATGCTCTATGAGCTTGCATGCCCAGCAGTCCTCTCCCTCATGCAGCTGGAGATCCCCTGGCCCAGAAGTTATCTGGAGGACTGCTGCCCATCTGAGGTGAGTCACCTGGTTGTTTGTTTTGTCTTGGGTGGAGGGGAGGTCAGCTGGAGAAGGCAGTCCGAGATCCATGCAGGATCGCTGGCCTTTGCTTTGCTGGGCGCCGTTTCTCTTGCCTTTGGGTGGGGTGGTGGTGCAAGGCTTGTGTGCACAGAAGAGAAGGTCGGTTGGAGAAGGCAGGCTAGGATCCATGCAGGATCGCTGGCCTTTGCTTTGCTGGGCACTATTTCTCTTCCCTTTGGGGGGATGCAGGGCTTCTGTGCACACAAGAGGAGGTCCTTGTGTAACATCCTTAATCAAATGTGTAACAGATAAATAGCTTGTTGATTTCCAATGGGATGCCGAGACTACTGCTATTGAATGAAAGGTTCTTGGATTAAAAATATTTTTATAAGTAGGTGTTCAGTCACACTCATATGTTGAAAGCAAAGTTGGGTCCTCCCTATGACGCCACTGGGCTTCAGTTATTTTACGGACCTAGCATAGCAATGCCTCTGGCCCTGGCCCCAGGCCCCCCCCCCCGGAAAGTGGAAAGTCTACGCCCTTGAGCCCAATAGAGTTTTTAAGGCAAGAGACAGATAGAGGTGGTTTGCCATTGCCTGCCTCTACATAGCAACCCTTGTCTTCTTCAGTGGTCTCCCATGCAGGTATTTATCTATTTATTTTTGACGTTTTTACCCCACCCTCCCCGCAAACGGGCTCAGGGCAGCTTACAAGAGGGCAGAGGCCCATGTATAAAAACAAGATAAAACAATAAAACCCTGCTTAACTTCCAAGATCTTCAAGATCAAGCGAGCATGGACCATGCACATCAGGGCATAATAATCTTACTTGAACATAATCTTCTTGAGTCTGTCTTTTATCTCCTGCTTGGTGAAGTACACATCCAGGGGAAATTCTAAGTGAGGAGTATTGCTGAACTGTATGGCTCCCACTCTGACCTGAAAGCACAGAAGAAGATCCTTAGAGCTGATTTAGTTGTACACTGTCTTTACACATCTAAATAGGACAACATGGAAATGGAACAAATTAAGCCCTTCTAGTAACAATTTGCCGGAAATATTCAGGTTTCCTATATTTTGACATTACTATGGAACAGGCATGAACAAGTATCTTTCAGTTTTTACACGGCACACCAGGTGGGCCACAATTAGAGTTGCTAGATCTCAGGCTTTGGCCCTGAGATTTAAGCTTTGAGTTTATTCAGTGCCCCAGGGCAGCAGGTTGAAATCTCAAGGCTGTTAGCTAGCTCAAACACATGATGGCTTCTTTTAAGACTTCCGTGAACACCAACCTGTAATAACTTTTAACACATATGTTGGAGAAATAATCTGGCACTAGTTGCTAAATAATATTTTATGCTTAGTGCTACACACATGCACAAGGATGTGTGCATAATTACTAGCATTGATATTGCTATTCAGTGTGATATCACCTGGTCCCACCCAATGAATCCAAGGGCTAGAGTTCCCAACACTGCCTAGGCAAAAGCTTGGGAGATTTGGGGGTGGAGTTTGAGGAGAATGAGATGTCACATCTGGATGATGCTCTAGGAATTTCCTCAAATATCTATGATAAAGATAATGGAGAAACCATTCAGTCCAATCCCTCACACCCAGTGAAGGATCTTGCATAACCATATACTCAATTTATGCTTTTTCTGAACATCTAGATTTAGTGTACTGCATCATAAACAAAACAAAACATAAAGGCTGCGGTGGCTCAGAGGTTAAGATGCTGAGCTGCAGACCAGAAGGCTGGTAGCTCGGCAGTTTGAGACCCTAGTGCTGTGTGACGGAGCAAGCTCCCGTCTCTGGCCCCAGCTCCTGCTAACCTAACAGTTCAAAAGCAAGAAATTGCAAGTAGATAAATAGGTACCACTTCGGTGGGAAGGTAACAGTGTTCCGTGCACCTCGGTGTTTAGTCATGCTGGCCACATGACCACAGAAAAGTCTTCGGACAGTGCTGGCTCTTTGGTTTGGAAACGGAGATGAGCACCACCCCCTAGAGTCGGATTCGACTGGCTTTGGAGCAAGGGAAACCTTTTACTATCATAAACAAAGGAAAGCAAACAACATACATATAATTACAGGTGCCTAGAAGGCAACGTGTAAATCTGGTAAACTAGTTTCCAAATGGTGATATATGAAGATTGGTAAGCACAGAGCCCCTGTGAAGCAGACATGCCATGACTGGGTCTTTTAAAACTTGTAAGGAAAGAAAACTTGACAATCTCTCCTATAAGAATCCTGTTTTGGGGTGGCAAGATTCCATGCTCTCCCTCAGCCATTGGCCCATCACCTGCCACTCAAGAGTACTTGCATGCCATTGGCCAGGTGCTGGGTCTGTTCCTCTTCCACACCCACTCCCCTTTCAGCCACTGTGCCCTGTCAGAATTACTGGCAAACAGCTTTCTTTCTTGACAAAGATGGTTCTCCTGCTTCCCTCCTGTGTGGGACTAAGTTTTCCCTCAGTGGCTGTTGGTAGGTGTAACGAAATGGCAGTTACCTGAGTTTGTAAGATAGCTGCCCTCTGTGGTTTGTTTAAAATGTTCTCTCATAAGGTTTAATTGAGCTGTAGTTCCAGAGAGGGGCCTGCAGGGGTATCACTCACTGGGTTGAATGGGGCTTCCTCATCTGCTGGCCTACAGTTCCCAGCTGTCCCAAGGCCAAAAAGTACGGGAAAACAGGGACTGTCCCAAGGCAGTCTTCGTCCCTGGGAGCAGCAGAAATTCAGCCACTGCACACTCGGCTGGACTGGGGAATGAATGGAAGTTTCCCTGCTCTCTTGGGCAAGAGAGAGAGGCTGAAGTACAGGTGAGCCCACAATCTCCAGAGGTAGAGAGTATTGTGTGTAGGGAAAGAGGTTTGCGTTTAACCCCTGTTGATTTATGCCCTGTTGGTTCATGGTGTCTGCTTACTCCTACAGTGTGTGTGCGCTCAATAACTGTGTAGATAGTTAAATAAATTCTTTTATTTGGGCTAATAATCTGTGTTGTGCTCTGACCACATAGTCTCCCCTGCTCTGCACAATACCAAAGGGAGAGGGTAGCCCAGGGAACCAAGGAAAGGCTTGACCCTTGGGTTGCCAACTTTCCGAGGATCCCCCAATGATTGGGGATTCCATCTCCAAATAGGGAGATTCAGCCAGAGGGGTCTCACTGTCCCTCTAAGAAGGCAGTGACGATTCCATGAGTGGTGACAGCGGACTTAAGGAGTGAGATACGCCCACGGGACGAGGGTGGGAGGCAAACAGCTGAGTTGTAAACTAGAGCCCGTTTCACCATAGTAGGCAACCAAGCTTGGTTCAGACAAAGGAAATCCTTTGCAGGCCTTTGAGAGGAACTCATTGGAGCCAGTCCGGACTAGGGTTGCCAGCTCCAGGTAGGGAGATTCCTGGAGATTTTCTGGTAGTCTATGGAAACTAGGGTTTGGGGAGGAGAGAGGCCTCAGCTGAACAGAATGCCATACAGCCCACCTTCCAAAGCAGTTATTTTCTCCGGGGGGGAGGGGAGATCTGTTGTCTGGAGCTCAGTTGTGATACTTGGTGATCTTCAGGCTCCACCTGGAGGTTGGCTGCCCTAGGCGTAGCAGTCAGTGCTTCAGACCAGGGTCTGCTAGATCCAGGTTCTTGCTGTAGAAGCTGAGTGGGTGATTTTGGACTAGTCACAGACTTTCAGCCTAACCTACCTCACAGGATTGTTGTGCAATTCAAAAGGGGGAGAAGAGAATGATGTAAGCTGCTTTGGTCCCCATTACAGAGAAAGCCTACTTTTCCTCCTGGGGAACCATTTTTGCCAATCACCAGGTGAGGGCTGGAGATCACTCAGAATCTGCTCTCCGGATGGCAGAGATCAGTTCCCCTGGAGAAAATGGTGGATTCTGTGGCAGTCAGGACTTCAGAGCATGGAAGAGGCTGCAGGTGTGTGTGTGGGGGAAATGGAAAGCTGACATCAGAGGGGGAAATAAAGGTAGGTTGATGATTGGCTGGGAAGGAGATAGGGGAATCCCTGGAGATTTCAGGGATGGAACCTGGAGAGGGTGAGGTTTGAGTTGGGGTGGGACCTCAGACAGGTACAATGCCATAGACTCCACCCTCCCAACCAGCCATTCTTTTCTGGGGAACCACTGTTGCCAATCTCAGGAGAGGGGTGGAAATCACTCAGAATTACAACTGATCTCCAGGAGGGAGGGGGGAGGAGATGCCAAGCTGAAATCAGAGGGGCAGATAATGGCAGGTTGATGCTTGGCTGGGAAGAAGATAGTGTTGCCAACTCCAGGCTGGGAGATTTCTGGAGACTTGAGGGGTGGAACATGGAGAGGGTGAGGTTTGAGTTGGGGTGGGACCTCAGACAGATACAATGCCATAGACTCCACCCTCCAAGCCAGCCATTTCTTCCTGGGTAACAATTGTTGCCAATCACCAAGTGAGGGCTGGAGATCACTGAAAATTACAACTGCTCTTCAGGTAGCAGAGATCAGTTCCTCTGGAGAAAATGGTGGACTCTGTGTCATTATACCCTGCTGAAGTCGCCACAGCACATTGATGCTGAGTGCCCAAGGCCTTGGCACTCTCCCAGAGCCTCTTTCTAGAGTTCGTTGTATTTATTTCCACAACAGGCCTTATTCCTAGTATAAAATAATTTTGATTTTATTATTACAAAGCACAAGAACTGTAGACAGCTTCTAATTAAGGCTGTAACCCAGTTGAAGAAATTTGAATCAGTCATGAGTTTCATTTTGTAAGTAATGTTGTGGTTGGTTTGTTGTTGTTCTTAAAAAAACATTTATAGGCTTGGATCCTATGAAGGATTCCTGTGGTTAAGGTGGAGGAGTTCCACTGATTCTGCCTCATGCTATTCCTAGGGCTCCCTTATCACCCATGAGCAGCATTTCAGGGGTCATTTTGGGTTGCAGTGGGACTTTCTTCAAGCAAGAAGGTTGTGCTCTGCATACAGAAGTCCTTTCCATCGGCAGAATCCTTCTGTGGGATCCAACTCTGTGATTTTAAACAACACATGTATGTATCACAGCAAGAAAGTACACTCCCTTTCTTTTGGAGAGAAAAGAGAATGCCTCTTGTAGAGCACCTGCAATCTGCAGTTTTTAAGAAATACACCTGTTAAAAACATTTTAAAAATGTGCTGCATGATTAATTGATTAATTAATTAATGGACTAAAATGTTTTTTATTTATTATTTCAGCTTTATACATGGCTATATATCAAAGATGTCACTGTTGCTGTGCCATCATTATAAATATGGAAAGCTTATATGCACAAAGAGAGAGAGAGAGAAGGAGCAATGATTGCTTTTGGTCAAGTCATTCTCTAGGTACCTATTATGTAGACTCACCTTCTCTGGACTGATGTCCAAGGCATCACAAAGCTTCATGGCTAAGTACTTTGACCTTTCAAAGCTTCCTTTGCCAATACTATAGGTACCATCTAACAGAAACAAGATGTCCACTGGGGCGGAGCAATTCATTACTGGGAAAAGACAAAGGCATTTCTGTCACAACAAAGAGCAGCAGTATTAAGCAGCCAGATGGTGCTGGCAAAGGAGGAGAGAAAAAAGCAGCATGCAGTGTGAACATAAATAAAGGCTTAAATTTGCTCAGCTATTATAATGAATTAATGAATGAAGGTCCAGGGGCAATAATTACAATAATTGAAATTCACATTTTGCAAATACACTTCATTCACTGAACAAAAAATGTTTTTCCTGATTGCTAATATCCATTTTCAGTATACGAACCTGCCTTTGATCTAAAAACAGCTACTTGTACCCTGAATGCTTGTGTTGGCAGAGAGAGGATTGCAGGGGATGAAAATCTGAGCCTTTTCTGCCACAGCCTGTGGAATTCCTTGACCCAGCAAGTCTGATATACCCCTTTCCCTCTGGTCTTCTGGAAATGAGTTTATTCCAGAGAACATTATATTCCTCTTTAGTGGAAAAAAATGCAGGTAAGAATTATCCAGCATTTTATTCTGCTAATTCTATTGCTGACTTTATGACTTTAAAAAAAATAAAAATCCCTGCTGGTTTGGAAAGTTTTGTTACTGTTTTTATCATTGCTTTTCTTCTTCTGCTAGCAGCTGTCCGTTCGTTCAGATTTTAAATGCCTATATAATTGTATAATGTTTTAATTTCATTTTCAGAGCCACCTTGTGTGCCATTTATATGAAGGAAACGTTAGGTTTTCTACCCTCCAGGTGGGGCTTGGAGATCTCCTGGAATTGCAACTCATCTCCAGACTACAGATCAGTTTCCCTGGAAACAATGGCTGCTTTGGAGGATGCACTGTATGGAATCAGACCCTGCCACGGCCCCTTCCCTCCCGAAACCCTGAGCTTCCTAAACTCCATACCCAAATCTCCAGGATTTTCCCAGCTTGGAGTTGGCAGCCTTAAAAAAGGATACAAATCTTCTAAGGCCCCGGTCACATGGCAAAGTTGCCGCGGGAGAGGCACAGAAGGTGGGCGGATTATCCGGGTGCGATCACACCCCAACATCTGGGAAGTGGAGCGCACCCGTGGCTTACCACCGACAATGCGGATTTAAAAACTAGTACCTCCAAGGTACTAGTAAACGTTTGCCAGGGGCTGCCTCCAGACGCCCCTGGTGTGATCGCGCCAGCGTGCGGCATTCCCCTCCGGTCCCTCGTTTACCCACTGGTGCTGAGGGAAGGACCCGTGCTGTGCTTCCGGCGCGTCTGATCGTGTAATCGCGGATCAAACTGCTCTGGGGCAATTAGCCACACCTCCCCCCCGTGATATCCGGCCCGTGTGCCCGGGGCCTAAATAAACGAAACATCTGAAAGACAAGGAGCTGTACTCTAGCTGTTTTTAAGAAATCGTGTGGGAATAGCCAGTTGCTGGTTCCGGGGCTGAGCAGGAATTTTTGGGTCTCTGTGAAATTGACTGTGAGGGGGACGTTTTTCGCCTGCTTCACATGGTCCATGGGAGTTGCGGCATAAATAGGCCTGGTAATCTGGTTAGGCCCTTCCTGGTACAGTGGGAAAGCACAGGTTGAAGGAGTCGAGTGGATATGGCAAGCACCCTGAGATATCAGCAATGGGGGGGGGGTGTCCTCAAACTGGGGACCTAGTGGTTTGGCAGTCTGGGAGGCTCAGGTTGGGGAAGCACATGGCGAGCCTTACAGCTTAGCAGTTGTGGGCGGGAATGTGCTCCTCCCATCTCCTCTACACATTTGGGGTGCAGGCCGTGACGGGTTGGGCCCAGAAGGATTCCGGATCTGGCTCTGAGCGAGGGTGGGCTTGCCTTGTTAAGAAGCCTGCTTCGCAGGCACAGTGCTTAAATGGTATAAAGGATGCAGATCAGCTTGTATGTAAATAAAGTCCCAGTTTAACCTGTAAATTGTGTTGTGTTTTGTTCGAGGGGTGGGTGGGCAAACACAGACAAGACATGTCACAAATACTCATCCAGCTTTGGGTATAATTTAGGAGCAGTGCACCCTGTTGAAGGCTGGAGTTAATGACCTTTAAGGTATCACAAACCCCGAGATTCTATTAAAGTCATCAGATCAGAGTCTTTTGCGGTTTGACTGAAACAAGTTTCACATAGCCAGCTTCATACTAGCATGAGGTTTTCCTGGGACTGTGTCCCGGTGTTACCTGAGCACGCTCAGACTTGCCTGCACAATAATTACTAGCTGATGTGACCGCATATATGCCAAAGTGGAGGCTTCGTGTTTTCATGGATTCAGATTAAGCTAAGCTTGTCCTCTCTCTTTATAGGGAGGGTCCTGTGAAAGTATGCAGAGCATCAACATGCCTTTAGAAATGTGGATCACTGAGTTTCGGTTGCAACATAAATTGTGTGCTTGAAGTTGTTCTTACTGCACAAACTAACTGATGGAAAAACAGTATCAGTCTCAACAAGCCAGTCTCAAATGTACAATTCTTGACCACGGTGACTGAATGAGAGGTGGCTGGTCTTGAGAGGTGGCACAGGCAGAAGATGGCTAAGGAAGGACAAGAATATATTTCCAGTAAGTAAAGGCAACCATTAGAGGCCAGGGTTGTGTTTTTTCCTTTAGGCTGTGTTCTACTTAGAACTTACCACCATATTATGGTGTTCACTCACTACAGTAACTCCTGGGCCATATCGAAACATAACAATGTGCACAACTAATCAGGAGAAGACAAAGCAGTGCAGTGCCTGAAATTTGGTGTTCCTGTGCAGGAGTCATGTGAGGAGAGAGATATTTAACTTCTTCCTACTTTGGTACAAAACAGAGATCCTGAATGCTGGATCAAGATCTAATCAAAATCTAATTAAAAGCCAGCATTCAGGATCTCTGTTTTGTACCAAAGTAGGAAGAAGTTAAATGTACAGAGCTAACAGTAGGAGATTTAAGAAGCGTGGAGAAGGGACTCAACTCACTCTCTCTCTCTCTCTCACACACACACACACACACACACACACACACACACACACACACCAGTCTGCAGGTTGAAAACAAAAATGGCATTAGAACCATTTTCAGTGCAAGAAACAAAACTTACACTGGCCAGCAGCTGAAATTTTCTCCACCCTTTCCTGACTGATGTGTAGTTCTTGTATGCTCCATGACACAAATGCTGCAGGATCAAATTGTTTTCAACATTGTCAGTCAATTGCCACCACATCATTTTAAGAAAATCACTGTTTATAGACAGAAAACTCTTTGAGAGCAGGAAGCTGTGTATGTTGCCTGTACAAGGAGCCACATACACCAATGGCAAGAAAAAACCTCCAAAGCTAGAAAACACCACATAAAAACAAGGGATGTCACTTTTAGGAATGGGAGGGGGGGTTGTGTGCTTATTTAAATAAAATGGGTCAGTTTAAATGACCATACAAACAAGTACTACAATCTAGCATCCTAAATACGTACCCAACTGCAGAAGCTCAACATTTTAATTCTGCACAAGGCATACAGTCACGATGGAATACCCAGCAAACTGCAGAGCTTCAAGGTTAAAAATACCTTGCTATAGTCAATAATGTTAGTGGATGAAATTGAACCGAAATATGGCTTAGTCTGTATCACATCACTATAAAAGGCTTTATGTGTGTGTGTGTGTGTCCCCCCCCAGCAATTCACATATATTTTGTAAGGATTTTAAAGCTTTATCAAGTTGTGTTTTCTAGGATTAGTAGAACACATTAGCAAATTCTCTTTGTGGGCATTCATTGCAGGGTTCTGTTGCTCTCTCCGATTATGGCAGGATTTACTTGAGCCATCCAGGCACCTCTTGTTAAATTAAGGCTCTACTTGATTCTCACTGCTGTAACACAGTAGGAGAAAGGGTTGTAAGGAATGTTGTGCCATTCAAAGCAGGAAGAATGAGGAACAGAATCATCAAGTACATCCACACCACTCTATGCTGGTGTAGTGTAATTGCTAACAGTAGTTTACAGTGCAACCTTAAATAGAGTTCAAGTCAATGTGCTTAGAAGGGTGTCCCTCTGATCAGGGTGAGACTGTTAGTGTCCTAATGGAGTGGACCTGTGCACATCAGCAAGCGTCCAACTCATCATTAGCACAGCACAGTGCTTGGTCAGAATTCTGTAGAAAAGAACGATGCACAGATTTAATAGCCACGTGGATACTGCCTTATTCCTTGTCCAAGAGGTATCATGGATCTCCTGGCTATACTATACACACTGCAGTACAATCCTCATCACCATCATGGCATGTTCCTCCTGCATTAAGTGTCACATAATTCTGCAGTCTATGGCCCACTAAATTTTTACCATCAGGTTATTTAACAATGGCAAATGAAGCTTTACCTTGGGAAATCAGAAAAATGCAAATCGAGTCAAATAACAGCAAGAGGTTCATGCTTGTCAACACTGGGGGGAGAAAAAGAGAAACATTATTGAAGAAGTCCTAAATAAATATCTTTAGGCAAAGGAATTTTTATTTATTAATTCACAAAAATGCATATCCTGACCTTCTACTTATAAAGTTGTTGTATACCAAGCGAGACTGCACACGCGGTCGAGCTCACACGTGTCCAGTTGAGCTTCGCTTCTGACAACAATAGAAACAGAGGATCTTAGGACTCGCCAATCAGCCAGTCCGGATCCTAAAGGGAACCAGTGAGTGAAAGTAGTATTGTGTATAGCCTATCAGGGGAGTGTGTGTGTGTGTTGGGTGTGGTTTGACCAAGAATATAAGCGGGCTGTGGGTCCCGCAAGTTATCTCAAGTTCTCCATTTAACTAATAAAGTATGAGCTGAAATCACTACGTTACGCCTTAGTACTTTATAAAAGTACTCAGGGATGAAGAATTTATCTTTCTTGCTAACATCAGCATAAAGAGGATTCAGGTTTTGAATTCAAGATCAACGTAAAATTTTGGCACTCCTCCACTGGAACTGAATAAGGGAGAGGAGAGAAAATGAAACATTGGCCTTATTGTGAGCAAATAGTGCTCTCAACAGTGGAATGGAAGAGATACTGAAATGCCTGCTACTCCTCATACGCCCTCAGTAGGAACGTATAACCGATTTCAGGATACTTTCCTCCACTGATGGCTAACAGTGATGAAAATGATGCCACACACAAGAGATTCGGGACTTAATTCAATCAGGGGAGATGTTAACACTATTTGCAACAGAAGGCCCTTACTTGACACAAATAGAATTCCATACAATGTGGGAAGGGGCAGTGAGAGAACACTGCAAGTGTTGCAGCAGCTACAGTGGCAATAGCAACAGAGCAGCAGTACCAATTACTGAAATGGCTTAATTCTTTGGAGTGCAGAAAATGCTGCTGCTGGGACATGCAGAAAGAAACATTTTAAAAGATAATATCCAACAGGAGGTTGTCGGTGTAGCAACTGAACATTTGGTAGTTTCATCAGTTGATCATCTCAATTTAATGACCATTTGCAGCTACCCCACCCCGTCTAAACCAAACCTTCATGCCATAGCAACTAAAGTCCTTGTCTCTCAGTACCAAAAGCCATTTCCCCCATTCTTCCTGAGGCATTCGAGAAGTTCTACCAACACTTTTCATGGTTGTACAACTGGATTTGACAAGTATCACTTTGCACTTCTCAAACCATCTAAATTCATTTTCTCTGCCACCATACATTTCAAAATGCCAGTACAGCAATTCCATTCCCACCAACCCTTCTGTTCAAAGAACTCTATAAAAACCTTGTTTTAAAAACCTTGTTTTTATAGAAGGAATAAACTAGAAAACTGAAATAAAACTGCACAACATTTTCATTATCATGGTCTGGATCCAGCCAGGTTTTCTGCTAATGAAAAGGGGAGGCTATGCAGAGGATCATGGGACCTGCATGTGAAGCAGGGAATGTGGCACGGAGAATTGGTCAAGATAGACTGAAAAGCTGGCTGGATCCATCCCCAAATTTGGACTGATACCCTGAGCCAGAACTCCATATTGACTGTTGAATTACTTCTGGCTGTCCCAATTAGAACAAGTCAAGGTACTTGGAAGAGTTCTTCAACAGCATTTCTGCTGAAATTCCTAAGAGGAATGGGCTATGTATTGTGTTATATTAAAGCCTGACTACCAAAGGACTAAAAGGCTGCTTGCTGGTACATACATTGCAATTTCAAAGAAACCCATTTTCTTGTTGTAGGGCATGCATCAGCTTATTTTTAAGTGTTATAAACTACTTATAAATCTTCTAATGTTACTCTGACTAGCAGTGGCATTTTTGAGCAAACATAGATTCTAGCCTTTATTTAGTGGGCTACTGCCAACTTTACTGTAACATAAACTGTTTTATTAGTGCAGGGAAACCGTGGTCAGGTGATCTATATTCAAGGCTGCTGAGAATCATCATCTGAGAAGCTCATGCAATAAAATATATACACATTCCTTCACCACCATCTTAGACCAGGTAAGAACTCAATGCAGTGAGATCATTGGAGGAAGACCAAGATACAGACATAACAAATGAATAATCTCCCAGGTAAATTTATTTAGCCAGGCTACCTAAAGAGCTACAACAATGAAAGAACAAGCTATGGTGCCATTGTATGCCAGAGCTCATGAGTATTTGCTACCACAATTCTTCCAAAAATAATCAAGGCCAGTCGGGCCTCTCAAACTGTACAATTGGTAAGACATCTTTGCCTCTTCACACAGAGAAAAGTGCCTTGGAGAAAGCACAGTCTTTCTTACCAGTCATAATTAACCTCCCCCCACCCCCATCCATTCCAGGCCAGATAACAGGGCTTTTAGGAAAGCCTGAGTCCTACCATCTCACCTTTTACTAGATGAGTACTGTACATCCATAAGAAGAGCCCTGCTGGATCAGACCAGTAGTCCATATAGTCCAGCATCCTGTCTCACACAGTGGCCAACCAGTTCCTCTGGACAGCCAATAACAGGGCATACCATAAACACACAGTTTCTTATACTTACTACAATAATGGAATTAGTAGTTAGAGTGAGATACATACCTCTAAAACATTCTAGTTAGAGTGAGATACATACCTCTAAAACTTTCTCAGCCAGAACATTCTACGTTTAAGCAAACCACCGGTACATGAAAATACATCATCAAGGATATCTTTGATTCCTCCTCTACTCCACCTCCAAGTAAATGCTGGGAAGTTATTCCCCAAAGGGGTATTCAATTAACTTTACAACTACTTGACAGTACTCTTTCAACAAAGGAAAACCCCTCAGCAAGACTCCACTTGTTGTCAGTTTTCCTGTTGTCAGGAGAAAGAATTCTCCATGATGCCACAGTACAAAGTGGTGGGAGATGAAGATATTTTCATGAGAGTTTCTTACCTCAACTATAAATCAAGTATATCTTTATGGAAAGTGTTTTGACCAGCTGTCCAGCTTTGCTTTTACAGGAAACATTAAATAGAAAATAATTCACTGATGAATCCACAAGTTATCAGTCAATGCTTGTTAAACTAATACCAAAGCTTGGATCAGGATCTCTAATGGGGGTTCTTGCTGCTGCACGTTTACATTGTATAGGTGTTTGACCCATCACGCTGACTGCACACCGCCATCCCTGTATGTCAGCCAATGAGAGGATTGGTAAACAAAGGACTCAAATTTTGTATCATATTAGAGTTGAAAGCAGGCTGGCAGGAAAGCAAGCAACTGACAGCACACAGCTTAGAAGGCTGACTTCAGTCTGGTCTGGATTGTTATTTATATATTTATTTATTTATTTTACTTGAATCCTTGAGTTTTACATTTACAAAACAGGATAAAGTAAATCACAACTTGAGACTGTTGCTTAAGGACCTGAGAAGCACTTTGCTGAAGCAAACCTTGGAATACCTGATTTAGCATCCTTTGTGAGAGTCCCAGAAAGACATCATCTTATAGGAACTTAATGGTATATTCTGCCTCCCCCCCCATCAGAATCTGAAGCTTTCAAGCACTCATCCTCTCAGCCTTTTCCTGAGAAACAAGACAGTGACTAGAAAATCCATGTCCGGACTTGGGTTGCTAGGATAGTGGGAGTTGCATGAACAGCAGCAGAAATAAAGCATCCTAGTGTCCCTTCAGAAACAGATTGATTAAATTCCAGACAGCCAAGTGTGCAGACTTGACTTACCAGCAAAGAATGGGTTTAATTTACAAATGTGTGACCCACCATCTCCCCAGACATATCATCTTTATGCTGGAGAATCCCAAGTAGAATTGGTTCTCTCTCTCTCACACACACACACACATACGTTGCCGCCGCTGCCACCACCATCCATCATCCATCTATCCATCTATCTATCCATCTATCTATCCATCTATCTATCTATCTATCTATTCTATCTATCCATCCATCCATCCATCCCTAATATTGCTAGCTCTATCTTAATAAAACTTGTGGCTCCTGAAACACTTCCTAACTATGAACTTTGCCACCCAATACAAATAACAAAATGCAAAGTAAGCTTTGGGTGGAATTTAAATGTGTCATCAAATCTATTCATCCTGGTCTACAAATGTACCAAAATGGGGAGGGGGGCTGTACCACTGCATACTGACCGGGAAAGGAGTACATTTTAAATATTCCCTTATGCAAGAACTTTCTATCATTAAAATCTAGCACATCAGCAGGGCTGCCAACCTCCAGGTGGTTGTATAAATATGAAGACACTCTGTGAATGAATTACGAACAAAAGCAGAAAACTTGTATTGTATGATACAATTCAAACAATTTGGAATCTTTGTTAAAGAACCCTTATATTTTTTAAAGAGCTAGGTTCCAAAAGTACTTAATACAAAGGGAGAATACAATTAGAGTCCACAATTCCTTTATACAAAAAACTTCAGGAGTACAATAGTTCCACGTCTTATTGTAGTAGAGATGGGACTATATAGATTTATTAGGTTTATTAGAGATCTAACTTTTTATTGGAATATAATGAAGGCCTGGTATATAGAAGGCCTCTTGTCTTTTCTGTCAAGGGAATTTTCCAGTTGCTGTTAACAGACAAGACAATACCATTCTTTTCAGTATTTAAACCATTAGGGATCAAGGTGTTTAATTTAAAGATCCACCTGTGTTCCTGACAAAGTAATTCCTTCATAGCCAATGGGCGTTTGGAGTCTGCAACAAATGCCACTGACAAGCTCAGCCCATATATCCCATGTTTCAGTGCCTTGTGAACTGGCATTTAGAATCCAGAAATCCCCATTTATTTCCAAACACAACAACAACTAATAGTGCAATCTAATGCAGAGTTAGTACAGTCTAAGCCAATCCTGTACTAGGACAGACACACTAGCTGAAGTAAGAGATATATTTTAAGTTTTTCAATGCAGCTAAAGAATCAGTTCTGAAATTCGTAATATCTAGATCTGAATATTCTTATATTTTATGAG